ATAAATTCAGTTCATTGCCTCCCTTTTCTGGATAAATAATTAATTTATTTTTTTGTTCTGTTTCTTTCTCATCCTTTTAATGGTTAGCTTTCAGTCTCCTGCATCTCCCTTTCACTGAGATGAAGCCAGAACTTTAGCAGTTACATGTGAGAGGAAAGTGCTGGAAAACTTAGAACAGATTTGTGTCAATACTGAATATTTCTCTTTTTTAAAATAGGTAGTAGATAGGAAATAAATTATACTTCCTTTGAGCCTAGAAAAAACCCTTAATGCTTGGGTTAAAGTGCATTTTCTTTCTGTACACATGGAAAGTAAACAATAGTGGCCTAAAGAGTGAATACTGTCATGCAGATTGAATCTATTACTAAAGTGTTAGTGTTACTATAGCTGTAGGAGGTGGGATAAAAGTTGTATTTTAGTTCTTTTCTGAAGTTGTTCATCTGACATCTTGTTTGGAAGGGAAAATGAATTATTTCCCATGGTTTTCTTTTTTTTGGCTGTAGTTAATTTTTATCGTTCCTCAAACAATTTGTTTTGTTTTTTCTAGGTGGAATTTTATTATTCAATGAATTGAGTTGAATTTAATTTCACAGCAACTGTTTTTCATTTGTACAGCATCTAGCACTTTGGTGTCCACTGTTACTGTTCTTGGGGACCATAATGACACAAATAACTAATAATTACTCTGCTACAGCCCTTACGTTTTCAAAACACTTCACACAGTAATTCATCATAATGTCTCTTCTCTGTCTCTTTTTATGGATATGGAAGTAATGGCACAAATCTTATGTTGTCTGATGCAAAGCTAGAGCCAAAACATGGATATCCTCGATCCTGTGTTTGGAGAGAAGATTGCTTACATGGCTGAGATATCAGTGTGGGACAAGGGGTGTACTGGCAGTAGATCGTGTCTTGCACAAAACAAAGAGATACAAAAGAAATTCTGTGTAAATGTGCACACTGTCTAGTGAGTAGGTCTAACTAATGACGAATTGTAGATGGAAATTTAGTTTTCAGAGTATTTAATGGACAAACTTCTGAAGCATTCTCTTTAAGTGTAAAATGTGGGTCCTGCTTTCCTGCAGAACTGAGGCTGATCTGTTTTTCTGTTGTGTTTGAGGTGCAGTTCCACTCTGCAAAGATTGCATGGGAGGAGAGGAAGGGGGAGGGGTTGTATTTATTACTTTAAGGATTTTTGACATTCAGGTTTGCTCAATCAGCAAATACAGAGTTAGTTATTCTGGCTCTCAGGGCTTTGAGCTTGCCCTTTGGTTTGGAGGGGAGTCGCTACAGAGTCTTCCATTTTCATGCATCAGCCCTCACTGGCAATGAAGGTAAAACTGCCAGCCTATTAAATATTTGTCAACAACATGTAGATATCAGCATTAGAATCTTGATTTAGTGTCATTCAGTTACTTCAAACAGTTTGATATATAAGTTTGTGTGAAATTCAGCATTTTCTGCCATATTTGACTATGTGCTGCATATTTCAGTAAGTGCTGCACACAAGTTATCTCTGTAAGCAAACATAGTAAAAATATACTATTTTTCCATCCTGGCCATATAACAGATTTCTTAGCTTCTGCATACCCCTAGGGGAAGGGATCTGTTGGATAGAGTACTAATAGGTGGAACTGTGCCTGAATAAGTCAGGCCCACATAGAACTTTGTGGGATATTACTTAGTCTTGTCCTTTCCCTGCCTGCCACACAGAAGTTCTTGATGGTGATCCTTAGAGCAGAGCATCTGGGGGTGCCTTTTTTGGGACCTGTAATGCAAGTGCTAGCTCTTTATGAACTAAGGTTTATCTATGTCCTTTGGGCAGAAGGAGGCTCTGGGTGGCTCTTAATCTGCCTCTCAAAGGTTATAGAAGTACCAGAGCTAAGAGGGTGGGACACGCATCAAGAGGAGTAAATTGAGTTCAGGCTCTTTTGCATGACATCTTGGAGCCATCTGTAAGGTAAAAGCATAAAAATAATCTGCACTGATAAGAGCATTAAAATGGACAGTAATCTAAAAGTACAGTTCTATTCTGGAAAATGGTAATCTAAAAATATCAATTTTGAATCCAGCAGATCTATTCCTGTGAGTATTAAAATATTACTTGCCAAATTTAGTGACAAAAAGAACTTTTTAAAGTATTGGAGAATGACCTGATTTTTTTTCTACTGTATCAGCTATGAAGCAGTCTATTACATTTCCATTGTTTATACCCATTTGAAATTCTGTCGCTTAGAATTTTTTGAGAGTTATATGAATGGTTATTTCCCTAGGCATTTCTTCCTCTTGATATCGATCCATGTAGAATAGACAAATCCTTTCCTCTGAGGAAATCAAATAGAAAATACTGTTAATGCTGAGATAATTTTTTTTTTTTCTTTTTAGCTTTTTCAGAACTTTTAGAATCTTATTGGCAATGCAGTCAGGTGAAATATTGTGGCTAATTTGAATATTAAATGCATCCTTTCAACACAACCAAATCAAGTATTTATTTTCTGTAAATAAGCAAGTTCTTTTGTACAAACCCCCTAATTCTTTCTACCTCTGATCAGAATTTGGTAGAATCACTTTCTCCCAAATGATGCAGTTCTATCATATTTTAAATGGTTTTACAAAATTCTTTTTGTGAATTTCACATGGGAAATTAGGATAAGAGTACTCTAAAAGCAAAGTAGTTTGTCTTAAACACTTTAAATCTAATTTCAAATGTTATTTTGTATTCCCATTTTTCATATCCAGTTTCTTAAACTCCCCTTATGTGATTCCCCCCCTAAGTATTTCTAATACTTGACTTTTTTTCCCATTTAAGAATTAACAAAATTCCAAACTTTTGAGTCTTTCCTGAATCATTATTATTTTTGTCTTTGGTGGGACTCTCACTGATAAACAGCATGTTTATTTTAAAATCCCAGTGATGAGTTTTAATTTTAAGAACAAATTTTGCACTACTATTTTTGAGCAAAAATAAAACTGGTATTTAGAATGCTGGGATAGAAAAATTTCCTGCCCTTGCCTGAGACTTGTAAGCACTGCATGATTAAAATACTTGGCTTTGAGACTGAAGCTAAAAGCAAGCCATTATTGGAGACTTCTCAAAATGTAAAACATTATCGTTTTGCTGTTAAAGTTTGTAAAGAAGAAAGGGAGAAATGGGCATTGATCCTGAGGAAAAAGGCCAGAAGGCTGCATTGTAATGTCAGAATGAGGATATTTAGAATGTAGAGACTATATGAGCTTGTCACTCAGGGACTTGCATATCCAGTTCTGAAATACGGTTATCACGTTATAGTTTTTTGTGTTTTCCCCTTTGCTTTTCCTCTCCATACTGGGTGTTCAGAAGTATCTGCTTTCCCTCCCCTAGAAATGAAGGCCTTATGCCTTCTGTGTCATATTCTCTGAACTGGCATCAAGGCTTTGCTCCATTGTTTACAAAACAAAGCCAGGTATGGAATGAATGGGATATGGAAATTAAATTTTACTTTGTGCAGGAATTTTTGCATCAGTGACTTGAAATGTTTGGCATAGATAATAATGAAAATAATAGATCCCTTGATCTCTTCTAGATCTCTGCATATATCTCTGATTTAAAAGAAGGCTGCTTTT